ACTTTCCAATTTAAATAAACATAAGGGACGATCATTAAATAGAAACATACCAATAATAAAATCTCATATGGGTGCTGCGTGTCGGCGACTAGATGAGAGACAGCGACACTTGAAGCTTCAAAGACGGCAACGAGAGAGAGTCAAAGAGAGTGAGAGGCTTGGAATCTTGGAATTACATTTTAGACTTTTAGGGTTTTGTTATTGTGACTTGTGAGTCATGTTTGGGGTTTTTCTTTTTTTCTTTTTAAGCGGTCGGGTCGGGTTGGGTTTATGACTTTATGTGTTATTTACGGGCTTACAACCCACTTAAAGTGTTAAAATTTCAATTTTTTTTTATTTTTATATATTTTTTCATCGGTCTAGTTTTGTTTTAAACCGAAATTAAAATTCTCAAACTTATACCAAACTGTTTTGGCCTGTTCGGTTTGGTTCAAAACCATTTCGTTGACCGGGTCCACGTGGCATCAAATCGATGGTTTCTAAAATGCGGTTTCGATTCGATTTTTGCTTACCGCCCTAATGGCTGATGACTCTATAAAATTTACAGCACTTATGATGATCAATCTTACCAGCTTCCCCAAGTCTTTTTAGTACTGGAAGTTCAATTATCATTTGTTCATGGAGTTGATCCAGAATTTACAGTAAATATGATATCTTTTATTTATTAATTATTATTTTTTTAAAATAAATAAGACGTGCCTTTGAATTTTGTGGACCTTATTCAATTTAATAAATTTAATTGGGCTAATCATTTAGATCGAGCCAATCAACAATTTTTCATGTCTACAATGTCAAAAAGATATAAGCATGTTTGGTTAAACTTAAAAATATATTAAACTTAATCAATTTTCATTTTTGAAATATATTCAAATAAAATGCATTTTTGGTGAAGTTCCTTAAGTTTTACAATAGAGATGTGCTTGGCGTACACCATGGTGTACAACCTCTTCACAATGGGGGTCCACGATTTTTTTATTCATGGTGGGCCCTCCACACGTGAGGGGGCTGTACACCATGCTGTATGGCATGATGTACAACCACATTTACTTTTACAATATTAGATGTAACTTGTTAATTAAATAATAAAAATGATCTGATTTAAATGAAATTGTGATCGATATTTTATTTGATAACAATAATTGCTAAATGTGTACTATTCATAGTGTAATTGAGAAATTGATTAGACACAAATCCTCTCCATAGAGTATTAATATTATTATCTCGTCCATTTGTGTGTCTCAATCTCACCGCCGTCAATTTTCACATATACCTAATATGGCACTTTTAAGGTTCCCTACACACTGTTTCCAATATGATGTGATGTTTTTTGTAGTTAAAATAAACACTAAGGATGGCATTGCGTTGATTTTTTTTTTTTTTTGGTATTTACACGAAAATAAAATAGTACATGGTTATGTCATGCTTTTAATTCTATGTAGTTGTAAATGTAGTGTTGAAATTTTTTTCCAAAATATTGAAATAGGACCAAGTGATTTTGTAGTTTATAGGTATGATACAATTTTTGAAATGGTGTATTAAATTGTTTGCTTCATTGGTTGATTTAATTTTGAAACAAGTCAATAACTAGGCGAAATCTTTGTGCTGGATTTTTGCATGCCAGAATCCTCCAGTTAGAGCCAACTAATGTGCTAGGGCGTTATCGATGTCATAATTTCTCGATGTACAGGATCTTGGCAGAACTATGGCAATATCAATGGTTGATTCCAATCCTTCATTCCATCCACCTTCTTCTTATCAGTAGTGGCTGAACCATTTCCCTTATTCTTTTATTAGAATACAAGCTGCCTATTACATGTTGTAATTTGTAGTTTCTTGGTTATCGAGACTCATTATTATTACATTAAGAGTTTTGTTAGATTGGGAAAAAAAATATCACACACCAATTTGTGTATGCAGATTCAGTTGAATTCTTTTCTTTCCTTTTGTTTGCATATAATTCTGTTATTGTTGTATCGATGCCAATGGAATTCTTGTTGAGAATTTACTTAACATGCATAACGAAAATTAAACAAAATTTTTAATTCCCACCAAGATTGATTGATTGATTGATTTATTTATTTTACTTTTTTTTTTTGGGTGCTTGGAGAGACTCTGTGATGGAAGGTTATACTTTTGTTGAATTATTCAAACTTCTTTGATTTTTTTTTTTTTAAATTCAGACAATCACGATTTGCAATCAATAGTTGTCCAATTGTCTATCCTCAAATGAAGATCAATACAAGGAACAAGATTGAAGGAATTAGAATTTTTACTTCTCTTATGCTTCTCTACAGTTTTTTAAACCCTAACAGCCTGTTAATATAAGTCTAGATGGATTTGGCTCGTCTCTTGACTTTATCCGATCTAATATTTAACTAATCCAATTAATTAAATTTGGTCCATGAATTAATTAATTCTATCAATTAATTTAGGCCTATTAACAAGCAATTAATTGAATTAATTATCAAACACTTGTCAATTAATTAACTGGTAAATCTCATTTTTCTAGTTCTTATTTTGTGTGTGACCCATCAGATTTCCAATCACGATGCCTTGTTAGCGCTCCTGGATCAGAATCCTAAATAATGAACGACGTGTATTTTAATCTAATCAAAATCAAAAAATTAAAATACCCCTTTTTAATTTATCACCAATTCACATTCATCATCATAGATTAACATATGGCAATGTATTAGGGTAATACATGTGATGAGAAATATCACCTAGTATGATAAAATCAAACTTGTTCGTTTATCTTGAAATTATAATCTTTTCATCAATATGATCCCATCAATTACGAGATATGGATATGTGTCAATCTCAATTATTGATCACATTTTTTATCTACTATTAAGTTAATGTAAGTCGGAAAGATGCCGTATCAGCGGCCCTTGGCAGAGCAACATCCAACATCACCAAAGTATAATTGTCCCCATATAAGTCACCATGATGATCCTCAAGTCAAATGACCAATTTCACTACAGAACTTTAGAGAGTAACCATTTATACTCAGAAAGTTATCCATGTAGAACCTTCCACAGGTCTCTAATATTTTGTTCTATAATAAAATATCCACGTGTTCATTTAAGTGTCACAATACTTTAACTCATGAGATTAGCTACATACTTTACAAGTAAGAACTGCCACATGTGATGGTCTATCTGTAATAACGATATTCACATTTCATTATTACTTACGACCATGAATAATTTAAGATTCAATCATAAGTAATTTGTATCTCACAATCACAAATCTTTGTGGTTAACAAATTATTAGGATTAAAAGTGTTTATGTCTAAAGCTGATTGGATCTAGGACATAACACTTACAATTCTAATATCTAGTAAATAAGGAACTTTTAATTATCTGTAGTGCAGTTGATGTGAACCAGCGTAGAACGATCGCTACAGAGCCCACACAAGATTGATAGATAATCCAGGAAAGCCAATTAATCCCGATTTGTGAATTCAACCTAAGAATTAATGAACTAAGCAAACTCGCAAAACGATGCTTGACAAAATCTTGATTACAAAATCTAAGAATTGTGCCCATTGTTTGAATGCCACAAGATTTGCGCCTTGATAAGTTCGAGATTGTTCAAAGGAAGAACAATGGATTAGAAAGCAATAAGCCTTTCGATTCAATTCAATAATAATGTCTAAAGTTGTTACAATGAAAAGAATAAAAACATATTTATACTACTCTAGAATCTAGTGAAAAATAGAAAATAACAATTAAAGATTATAAGAATCTAGCAAAATATAGAGTTCTAACGAAATAAGGAAACACGTGAAAAAGGGAAACACTCGCCCAAATTTTGAATCATACGACTGCATGGTTCATTTGCTTGCGGTCGTACAAGCCATTCACAATGCCCTTCTTGAGCTATGGGTTGCCACAATGTGACTACATAGTGGATTATACTGTACGGTCACACAGTTCACCACTTTGACCTCCAATTTCGTCCACGTGTATTGAGTTGATCTAAATGGTTTCGGCCCTCGACCCCAACATTGAACTTGCCTTATTTTGCACCACGATCATCTTCTTTTCAATTGTTGATTGAACTAAGAGCCCCATCGCTTGATTTGCCCTCGAGCGCATCATCGGTCCGCCTTCGATAATCAACGGGTCTCATCTTAGATTTACTTTCATTGGCCTCGGCTCTTGGATCACATGATCTCCTCTATCTTCACAAGGATTTGTCCTCGAATCCGTACTTGCATAAAAAAGAGACAGATCAGACACATTTATGTAGCTGAAATATTATACTCACCTAAGAGATCCAGCTTGTATGCGTTTATCATTGATTTTCTCGATAACTTGAAATGGACCATCTCCCTGTGGTTGCAACTTAGACTTTCTTTGCTTTGAAAAGAGCTCCTTTCTGAAGTTCACCCAAACCTTGTCACCTAGTTCGAATGTCACACTTTTCTTGCCCTTGTTTGCCTGCGATGCAATACACTTATTCTTGTTTTTGATTTGCAACTTAACCTTTTCGTGGAGTGATTTTACCAATTCTGCCTTTCTTTTACCATCTAAATTACTACGTTCATTTACAGATAATGGTATTAAATCCAATGGGGTTAGTGGATTAAAACCATAAATAATTTTAAATGGCAAAAATGAAGTAGTAAAATGAGCCGCCAGATTATATGCAAATTCAACAAATGGTAAACACTCTTTCCAATTTGTCAAGTTCTTAATGATTATAGTGCACAATAATTAAGTCATAGTCCTATTGACTAACTCGTTTTGCCCATCAGTTTGTGGGTGACAAGTTGTGAAAAATAACAATTTTGTGCTTAACTTATGTCACAACCCCATTTATATAGATAACTACACATTACCATGTGTGGGAATGAACTTGATGACTCGACCTAGACATAGAATTTCACATAATTTTTTTCACTTGATAAAACGACATAGGCATTTTCATGAGTATGTCCTTACTCCTAATCACCTTTGACGATTATATATTATATCGAAACCAAAATCATATCACCATAATCGAACATATATATTTTGAGGTTATAAATATGTCTACAGGCCATGTTAAAAGATATACAACACAGGATCCCTAACATATAACACAATAGAGCATACGCTCAAAATAATAGCCCACAAAATAACTCTACGGGTCGTCATCCATGTACATCGAACTCTAGAATCCTGTAAGAGCTCCATTGCTAGTCGTGCTCTCTATGTAGTTCCATGCTCACCTACAATGCAAGAACTACATAAGTCAATGCTTAGTAAGTAAAAATCATGCATGTCATGAGTATGAATAATAACGATATATGCAACTGTGCCATTTACTTTAAAATCACGATAAAGATGCATCATATTCCAATATTTATCAAAGTCGACCCGAAATCATTTCATTTGAAATCTTTAATTTCATTGGTCCCTTGACCCACCTACTAGGCACTGGATAGAGCTCTGCATAATATCAATAATCAAATGACCAATATAAAATTCACACCGGCGAGTGGACCATCCTCTCGTGGCCACAAGAGGCCTATCCTCTAACTACCTCTATGATCCCCCAAGAAGTATCCCACCGACAGCGTTAATAATTATAATATCACAAGGGCATTGTCAAGTGGTTCGCCCTCCTGTGATCACCAAAGGTCCATCCCCTGTCTACCTTTGCAATCACCCAGGAAGTATCACCCGCGATACCAAAACATATCACATAAGCATGCCTCATATGTCTTGGTACCCCATTAGTGGTCAATAAAATATTTATAAGAAAAACTCAATTTGGAATCATGTTTCACATGCAGAATTTTCAACCATGATCACATGTCGTGTATACAGATGAAAATGCTCATAAATGATATACTTAATAAAAATAGATGTCAATAGGTTCCCCAACGTCATACTCAACGATCATAACCATCATATGATGTGTAATAAACCTCTTATCAAAGTTATGTAACTATTACAACATTACCATATCACAAATACTAGGCTCTTGCATCGTAGTTGCAAATGGATTTTTACTTACCTTTCGTCTTTGTGTGTGCAAGCTCCTGTGCAGTGTATATCAATTTCTTTGTTGCTCAACGTCACAAAATCACGTGCATTACCATCTAATATTAAAGACAATCCTCCATTTAATAACCTTAACACACACAATCCCAAAATACATCCATTCATGCCAAAACAATTTAGACGAAATCATTATTTCAAGTTACTGATGGCATTACAAACTAATCCCATAAGTCTCGCTATTTCTTGAGTCCAATTATGAATGTCAGCGTCATCCAATAGTTTTCATTAACCTAGTACTCCTTAGATTCTATTTTATAGGTCCAAGAGACCAATAATGAACTTATAAATGTTGAAATCACATTAAATACCCAAATGGACAGAATCTGTTTTCAGATTTTCATTACCGTCCAATTATTTTTTTCTAATGCTTTTTCTCATCCTTAACTCTATCCAACGACTCCCAAATTCTTACCACCCACCTATAAAATATATTTGAAGATAATCAGGTCATAAGGTTGTGACAAATGAAGGATTTTGAGCTTCAAAAACAGTCCATTTTCCACTACACAAAATCTAGCAGTTTTATTTTCCTCGCGATAGTTTTCGGTTTCCATTGTATTAGTATGATACCAATAGAATTATGAGCCATTTAAAATCATTTCTACACTTCATACTTACATATAAAAATGTTCATATTGATAGATATAAGTTACACACTAAGTATCATCCCAAAATCAAAGTATAAACCACTCAAATCCAGCAACCTGCATCTACCCAGGTTGTTTTCCCTCAAGTTCTTGTAATTAATCTCCCTTATTTTGCCATCATAAAATTATCCAAAACCTCCCACATAATTTCAAGCAAGTTTATAGTTTGAATAGGTTATAAAACACCCAAAAGAACTAAGGAAAAAAAATTCAAAACCGTGAATTGAACTAACCTGCTTAAATTGCAATTCCAGTTTCTTATTTTTCTATTTCTCTTTACTTCCTTTGCTTTCTGTTTCTCTTGGGGTCACTTGAGGATAAATTTGGAAGGTTAAATGTATTATTTAAGATATGTATAAGTATTCTTAAGGACTGGGGTCGTGAGTATTGTTTAAGGGTGAAGAAAAATGTGAACAAAGGACAAGTATCCTTAAGCATGAGCAGTCCAAGCATGATGTGTCTTCTTTGCAGCAATACTTGACTTTCAACCATTATATATTTGGATCCATTTGTGACTTTTAAGATATATATTCATCCTATATTAAGTTCTTAGGGAGTAGACATTAGATTGATGCCTTAAGGTTGAAGAAATTGATTGTTAAAATAACAAACATCCCAAGCACGAGGTGTTCAAGAATGAGGTGGTCACTTGTAGCATAATATGATTTTATATCTATCTTTGCAGGTACAAATCAAGTATCCTTGGATAATTTGACGTGTTTAAATCCATTTCACTTTCCCTAAGATCCCAAAATATATTATAGAGCTAATTTCTCAACCATTCATATAATGACTTACTCGATCGACTCTCAATTCTCGAACGATTTCAACAATTCGCATCTTAATATTTATAACGTCATAGGAAACATATATTATTACATCGTGATCATGTCACTTCATGCCTCATGTCCCAAATATGTCAATTACCTGTCTAAGGTTTGAGATGACCTCGATTAACGAAATGGAAAACTTGAACCTTTGTCGATACTAATTTTCGACATTTTCGATTTTCCATTACTTACCAAGTCAATCTCCAACATTTAGTTAACCTAATTTTCTTTCATAGCTCAATGTAAAGTTCAACATCTATGTCAAGGGTTCAAAGATTACCACCATATAAAGATTTTAAAGCCTCGATGATCGAATGCACCGTTTTAAGATAAAGCAATTAGAAAATTGATGCAAATGACAATGTAATTAGCATGAAATGCATGAATCATATTGCCCATATGTATAACGTGAAGCTCGGGGTAATACAACTTATCCCACAAAACTCGCCAAAAATGACTTAAAATTTTTACATCTCTATCCGACACTATGCTTTTAGGAACCCCATGCAAACACACCACATCTTTAAAGAACAAATCCACTATGTATTTGGCATTGTCGGTTTTGTGACATGGTATAAAATGCGCCATCTTACTAAATCTATCTACCACCACAAAAACTGAATCGTGTCCTTTCTTAGTCCAAGGTAAACCCAAAATAAAATCTATTGAAATATCAACCCATGGTTCACTAGGTATAGGTAATGGTGTATATAGTCCCTAGTGTAAAACTCTAGACTTAGCTCTCTTGTAAGGTATGCATCTACCACAAATCCTCTCGACGTCACATTTCATCTTAAGCCAATAGAAATGCTCCCCTAACATCTCTAAAATCTTTTGTACCACATAGTGCCCCATTAATCCACAACTATGTGCTTATCTCACTAGCAACTCTCGCATTAAACAATTAGGAACACATAACATATTTTCTCGAAACAAGTACTCCTCGTGTTTAAAAGAACTTATCTATAGCCCCCTTACCACATGATTTGTAAATATCGAAAAAAATCTAAGTCATTTTCATACATATCCATAATATGTTTTAAGCCAAGTAATTTAGCATTTAGTGAATTTAACAATGCATACATTCGAAATAAAGCATTTGCCACTACTTTTTTTACCTTGCTTGTACCAAATGACGTAATGAAATGTTTCAATAAACTCCATCCAACTGGCGTGCCTCTTATTTAGCTTTCCTTGACCTTACAAGTGCTTCAACGACTCATGATCGGTGTAAATAATGAACTCCTTAGGCCATAGGTAATTCTGCCATGTTTCCAACGCCTGAACAAATGAGTATAGCTCTTTGTCATAAGTTAGGTAGTTTAGTACAACCCCCACTCATCTTTTCACTGAAATAAGCTATAGGCCTCCTATCCTGCATTAAAACTGCTCCAATATCTATTCCTGATACATCACACTCAATCTTGAACATTTTTTTCAAAATTAGGTAATGCTAAAATAGGTGCTTTACATAATTTATCGTTAATAGTATTAAATGCATGCTCCTATTTATCGTCCCAATGAAAGCCTATGCTCTTCTTTACTACTTTCGTGAGTGGTATAGTGATTGTGCTAAAGTCTTTACAAACCGCATATAAAACTAGCCAACCTGTGAAAACTCCTCACTTCGATTATACTCTTAGGTGTAGATCAATCTTTAACAACTTTTATCTTCTCCTCATCTATCTCTACTCCATTTGCACTAACCACAAAATTTAGAAAGACGACATTTTCTATGCAAAAAGTACATTTCTTAAAATTTGCGTAGAGATGTTCTTTCCTTAACGCCACTAGCACATTTCTTAAATGCTCCACATGCTTATTTAGGTCTTTTCTGTACACTAAAATGTCATCAAAATAAACCACAACAAATTTTTCTATAAAAAAACGCAAAAAATGATTCATTAAACTCATGAAAGTGCTCAGTGCATTAGTGAGTCCAAGTGGCCTTACCAACCACTCATATAGTTCATATTTGGTCTTAAATACAGTTTTCCACTCATCTTCTTCCCTTATTCGGATTTGATGATAACCACTTTTAAGATCAATTTTACTAAAAATGTATGCACTATGTAATTCATCACCATGTCATCTAATCTAGAGATAGGATGACGATACTTTATCATTATATTATTGATGGCTCTGCAGTCCATGCACAACCTCCATGTCTTATGTTTCTTTGGCACCAAACAGTACTAGTACGATACACTGACTCATGCTCTCCCTAACATAGCCCTTGCTTATCAGCTCCTTCACTTGCCTCTGAAGCTCATTTGTCTCCTCGGGATTACTTCAGTAAGCTGGTCGGTTGGAAATGACAGCTCCCGGTATGAAGTCAATTTGGTACTCAATGCCTCGAATGGGTGGCAATCCATTAGGTACATCCTCTGGAAATACATCCTCGAACTCTTGTAATAAAGATTTAGCCAAACTGGGGAGGGATGGATTAGTTTTCTCAAAATTGAGAAGTGACTCTTTGTAGACCAACAAAATCATTTCCCTTTTCTCGACTGCCGCTCTCCTTAGCTCACTCTCTTTTAAAAAGAAATTCGCTATTTTCTTTTTTCTCATCTCAGAAGATTGCTTTTCTTTTCATTCTCGTGGCTCCTTGGTAGATCCCCATCTCCAATATTCCAATACAAGTTGTTATTAGTTTACTATTCTAGAGAATTCCATAGTTAGGAAAAGGGTAGAATTGTAATAACAAACTAGTAAATTCTCTATAAATGTAATGAGGGAGAAAACTGAGAAATCATTTAGGAAAGATTGGGAAAACTGGGGAGAGACCAAGACATCTCGAATGCCTTGGGAATTTTCATTTCATTTACTTTACGTTCTTCATTTCATTTGAATAAACAGTACAATAATTTATTGTTCACAATCCATCCTTCCCAGCTAATTCATATTGCTTATTTTGTCAATTACATCTGCACTTTCCATTACATAAATCAGCCACCATATTAACTACCTAACTAGATCCAGTAATCATCCACAAGACAGGTTCATCAACACTTCACAGGTCCAGATAGGAGCAACAGCAGCATCGACTCTATTCATCAATAGAAGAATTCAATAGAAGTAATTAGGATCCTATCAATTGGTATCAGAGCCTTCGATTCTTAGATAAAGGGAAACTATGTTTAGCAGAGAAGTACAGGAGAGTTTAAACTTCGTAATGAGTATGTTGGAGATGAGGTTAAGGCGACATGAAGGAGATCAAAATGATGATTCAGGGTTGGGTTCATGTGGCTGACTCAACACATTGTTATTCTATGGGGACAATTTAGATTCGTGGCTGATTGAGGTAAAATGATGCCTAGACAAGAATCGCGGCTTACCGGAGAGGAAAAAGGTAGAAGCCACAGTTGCTTGCTTTTATGGAGAGACTTGGGCATGGTTCCAAAAGATAGACAATAGCTATCCAATAGAGACTTGGGTAGAATTGAAGGTGAGGATGATGGTTTGATTTCCCATGAAGCAGATCTCCGTTGGTAAATTTTCAGATTGGAAGTAGGGGAATGAGTTGAATCGGGAGACGGCACGAGAAGAATAGCCAGGTAAAGTACATGTGTCCCCATCGTCATCATCAGTGGAGAAAATATTCCATTGCACAAAGGAACTGTCATCACTAGAAGAGGAGGAGAAATTCGAATTGTAGAAAAAGGAAATTCACGAAAGCGGTAGGAAAGAAAAGGGAATTGCACTTAATCTGACCGAAAACAATGTGGATCTGAAACTCACCATCGCTTCTGAGAGCTTTCCAAAATTGAAGGAAGTCGGAGCAAATAGCCGTAGCACAGATCGCTGGAAGGAGCTGGCTAGAAAGGAAAAGGAGGTCGCTACTTCATCGGGAATTACCCATGCATATCCACATTGATCTGGTAAAGTTGGGGTGAATAGAGCGCACCAGGATCGGCCTAAGAGAATCATCAGAGATGGGAGTTCAACCGAAATCTTAGCATTACTATTGCCAAAGGTGGAGAAGATGACAGAGCTCGATGATGGGGAAATTTCTCTGGTAATGGGTTAAAACTGAAGAATCTGAATCTGGACAGTAGAAACAAAAAGAAATTGCTGAAGGAGATAGGGTTGGACTACGATATGGAGTTGGCCCAACACGTGGAAGATATGAATGATATAGTAAGGCAGGCCTAAATTAATTACAGTAGCCCAAACCACTTAAATCTAGCTTCTAGCCCACTTATACACTCTTATCCAACCCCCATTCATACTCAATTAACCTACGTAATCCAACCTAAAAATCATCACATTATTCTCGTTTTAGCTCCGATCTGCTGCAATTGGGAAAAAGATTATATTATCGGTGGAGGGAGAAGATTACAATCGAGCATCATGCAGAAGAAGTGAACACATTCTAGAAATTTCAGTTAAAATTAACAATGCGGGAGAGAGCACAGTTGTACGAAGTAGCTAAGAGGATTCAGGAAGAATGGAGAACGACAACAGCCATGAAAAATCTACCATCAGAGAAAATCAGAGATTTATAAAAAACGTATCAACGCCGTGGTCGGTGATATCACATGGAGTACTGGGGAAAAATCTCGTCTATGGGCAAAGTTCGTTGGATAAGGATGAGGTCTCCAGTGATAAAGAAATTTCAGCCTCGAAGCATTCGGAATTGGGAAGCTCAGAGACAGCCACGAAAGAACACCAATGTCAACCCTCTGAGCCTCCACTGTCATCATTGGAAGGGAAGAAATTGGAACACTGCATAGAGGGGTTCCGGATGCATGATATGGAGACCACGATGAAGAAACAAGAAGGGACTGGGCTTGAAATTAACGCTGAATTTCATAGAAAAAAACCTATGGGCTATGATTTGAAGTTGGGCCAAGAAGTTCAAGATCAAAATGAATCCTCGAGACAAGTCCCATGTCCAGATAAAAATGAATTAGCAAGAATGGCCCAAATGAAGCAGGCCCAGATAAACCATCTAGATCTAAAATTAATAGTGGAAATTACAAAAATCCAGGTATTTAAAGATGACAATACAAAAATCAGGTTGAAAGTTTTTTTAATCAGAAATCAAGTATTATATATTTACACCTACCTAACCCAGACAAACCCTAAATAAATTCATATCCTCGTCTCTCTCTCGCAGCCCTCTTTCTCTCTACTCATTTATTTTCTCTCTACCCATTTCGATTCATCTTCATTGCCGTAGTGTATCATTCGTCGCCGATTCTATCAATCGAGGTCAGTCTACCATATTTACCCGACAATATGCTATGACGATGCTTGGATATGAGCGCCGCTGCAGCGAACTGTGCTCGCGCTCAAATCTTAGTCGCTTCATCGATATTCAGTCTCAATCGATGCTGTGAAATAGTGGTGTGGTCGGTTGTGGTGATGGTAGGTGAGGATGCGATGGTTGTGGTGGTGGCAAGCCGGTGTGCAGTGTTGTGTTGATCAATTTGTAGTGGTTTAGATGTGGTGTGGTGGGTTGTTGGCTTCAAATTTGGTTTGTGGTGGTACCGTGAGTACAGTGGTGTTGGCTGTGTCATGATTTGGGTGGTTGTGTTGAGGTTGGGAGGTGCCGGAGGTGTATTGTTAGGAGACGTGGTTATGTTGGTGATGTTGTGGGTTGGGGTGTTGTGTGATTGGTGGTGACGATCTTGGTGGTTGCTGGCGACGGTCGAGGTTCTAGTTGGTGGTCGGAGATTTGATAGAGGTGTCTGTGGATTGGGATCGATGGGGGTTGCTTGGTTGTTGGGGTTGATTGTGAGTGTGTTTTTTTGTTGTCAACGGTCTGTGATCTTAAAATTTGGTCCGTGACCTTAGAATTTGATAATTTGTGACTAAAAAATAATCTGTGACCTCAATGATTTGGTTTGTGACCTTAAATTTTGATGATATGTGACTAAAAAATAATCTGTGACCTGAAAAATTTTTGATCTGTGACCTCGAAAAAATTTGTGACCAATTAATTTGATGATATGTGGCCAATAAATAAATTTATGACCTATAGTTATAAATTTGTAACCAATAATTATTAAACTGTGACTTTATTATATTTATTTAACAAATATTTTTAATTAATTAAATTCATACCTGAGTTTTGAGCTTTCAAACATTTTACCTGGGTTTTGAAATAGTGTAAAGAATACACCTGTAATATGAATTTTTCCCAAATTAATATAGATAACCCAAGCCCACAACTCCTTTATTTCCCAGTCCGCACACACGACCCGCATGTTAATCAAAGTTTACCTTCAGTTTCAATCCCAAGATAAGTTTTCATAACTCCAAAATTTGATAAACTAAAGCAATCACAACCACCAAATCAACTTATTGTTTTAAAGCTTTGAAAGAGGAGGAAAAATGGTTTATGCCTTCATTGTGATTAGGAAAAGCCAGTGGACCATAATTGCGAAAATCAGGGATTACAAGTGTTGGTGATAACTGATGATTAAGAGGAAGTATGCTTCATAGATGTAGAAAATGGAAATGGGGAAAAAATGGAGCTTCTGATGATGAAGTTTTAGGGACGGATTGGTCATGACCGTATGATATTATTAACTGATGGTGCAGCTAGTTATAATGTGTTTACAACTCATCGAGTTCAAAAATTGAAAAGCCAGCAAAGTTGTGCTACTGATTATGGGATTTGCATGAATAACATTCTAAGTGTTGGCGGTTGGCACAAGAAGTTCTTAACGGCATGTGGACTAAAATATCGCATTTCAGCATTTGGCATGATAGGAATTCTTATCAAAGAAACGATGCAGTTATATGAAACTTCGAATTTTAAAGTTGAATCATACTTCTACCTTGAGTACAAGGTGGATTTTGGGACGGCAGGTAATGATAGACCCCCACTTCCAATATCCCAGTACAAGTTGTTATTAGTTCACTATTCTAGAGAATTCTATAGTTAGTTAGCAAAAGGGTATAATTGTAATAACAAACTATTAAATTCTCTATAAATGTAATGGGGGAAAGCTACGAGATCATTCAGAAAGATTGGGAAAACTAGGGAGAGACCAAGGCCTTTCGAATACCTTGGGAATTTTCATTTCATTTACTTTATGATCTTCATTTCTTTTGAATAAATAGTACGGTAATTCCTTGTTCACAATCCATCCTTCCCAGCTAATTCATACTGCTTATTTCGTCAATTACATCTACACTTTCCATTATATAAATTAGCCACCATATTAACTACCTAACTAGATCCAATAATCACCCACAAGACAGGTTCATCAACGGCTTCACAGATCCAGACAGGAGCAACAGCAACATCGACTCTATTTATCAGCAATAGAATTCAACAGAAACAATCAGGATCCTATCACTTCTCTTTCTTTTTCTCTCTTATTTGCCACTTCGCATTTTTCTCTCTTACTCACTGTCTCATTATTTTCTCTCTTTTTCTCTAGCTTTCTCGCTCTCCTCTCTTCTTCATTTTTCAATTTAATTTGATCTTCATACACTTGTGCCAGTGTTAATGGCACAAGGGTAATGGACATCCCGTTCTCGACAAAGCTGTATCGATTCTTGTACCCATCATGAATAACTTTTCTGTCGTATTGCCACGATCTTCCCAACAACAGATGCCCTATATGCATAGGTACCACATCACATACCATTTCATCACGATAACTCCCAAATGAGAAATTCATCAGAGCCCTCTTATTCATCTTGATTTCTCAACATTCATTCAACCATTGAAACCTTTAGGGTCTAGGATGTTTCAATAAAGTTAATCCTGATTTTTCTACCAAAGTTGTGCTAGCCACATTTGTGCAACTTCCACCATCTATGATCATGCTATATACCTTATCATTAATGTGACACCGAATGTGGAATGTGTTTTTCCGCTGTTACTCTAAGTCATCCGCCTTGATTTGAGCGTTAAGAGCTCGCCTCATAACAAACAGTTCTCCAACAACAAATTCCACATTCTTATCATCACTAATCTCCTCCAATTTGAGCATGTCTTCATAATCACCTTCGCTCTCACTCACCACCTCTCCATTGTCCTGCAATACCATCGCCTGTTTGTTTGGACATTGAGAAGCTATTTGTCCCGACCCCAAGCACCTGAAACACTTAATATATAACTCCTTGATGGTTGTGACTCCGGTTTGGGTATAATTTTGCTAGCACTCTCTTCTTTGCTCCTTGGTAACTCAACCCTACCCTTAGAAATAGGTCTATCTCCTTTATTGTTATCCTACTTCGATTTTCAAGATGAATTAGAAGCTAAAGTTTCCACTGAATGCCTAGCAGTCCCCTTCCTCTTCAACTGCTTCTCCACTTTTATTGTCACATGCAACATATCCTCCAACTCCACATAATGTTGTAGCTCCACCACATTGGCTATATCCTTATTCAGCCCATTTAGAAAACGAGCCATAGTGGCTTCTCGATCGTCCTTCACGTTTGCCCTAATCATCAATATGTCCATCTCCTTGTAATAATTCTCTACACTCTTCGAACATTAATATAAACTCTGCAACTTTTGATAGAGTTCCCTATAGTAGTGACTAGGTACAAATCACTTTCCTGTTATCGCCTTCAACTCATCCCAAGTGTCAATAGTCATTTCCCGATTTCTACACCGTGAAGTGACTACTTGATCCCACCAAGTTATCGCGTAGTCAGTGAATTCTAAAATCGCTATCTTCTCCTTCGTCTCCTCTGAGTAGTTATGGCACTCAAAAATTAACTCCACTTTTTTTTCTTACTCTAGATAAGCTTCCCTTAAACGATGGAATGGACATCTTAATGTTGCCCATATTACCATCTATCTCATCTTCATGATTATTCCTACCCCGTCGTTCAAGCTATCACCCCTATTCCGCATCCATCACATCTGAACTCTTTCATGCTCATCTTTACTTAAATCACTACCGTAATTGTACGCTTCCTGCCTTTCCATCCTAGGCTCTCGTCTACCCGATCTCCTAGCATGAGGTTCTTCTGTCCATTGTCCCCTACTAAGATTTGTAACAGATACATCAAGTCTATCTAACGTATCTCTCATATCTACCAACAATATCTCAAATCTCCTCATCATATCATTCGACACATTAATGTGATTGCTGTTTAAGCTTGACTTGGAATCTTCTCAGTTAGACATCTTAAATCTAAAATTTTTTTGCATCACCAATATTTCACTTGGAATCATACGATATATGGCTTTTACCCTTTATTGATCTCACCACTCTGCCTTTTTTCCACTTAGTGCTTTTGTCCAAGTGCTACCAAGAACAAAGTGAACTTACAAGAATTAGCCACGTGGATTTCAAACTGGGTGCAATCAAGAGTAGTGATTTTGAAAGTAATTTGTACAACGGGAAGTGAAAACTTTACTGGAACTGACAAAACCAAAAATTGATTGAATCGACACTTCAAATTGACTGGAAGGAAATAAATGACTCAAAGAATTAACAATGAAGAATTGCTGGATAGAAATAACAATAACAATTTTTTCAGCTCTTTTTCTTTCTTTCTTTCTTTTTTTTTTTTTTTCCCTTTTTTCTCTTTCTTTTTGTTTTGCTAGAAAATCCAACTACGACATCAACACAATTAATGAAAGTTGATTTGGGTGCTAAATTAGCCAAAAAATAACTTTTGAAAATTTGATGTTCTTTTGTGGATCAAAGACTCAAAATAACAAAAAACACGAAGAAAATAAGAAAAAATAAAATCAAAAGACTTAAAAAGAAAATTGAAA